TTTGCGTATGCTAGATCATTCTAAAAACTGCCAGTTAAGTATTGAGATTGAATTGCTATACCAGGTGAATGATGGAAGAAAATGCAATTTAAAGTAAATTCAATCAGAATATTTTGCATTTATAGTAGTATATACAGTAAAAAATGTGAAATAACCTCTTCGGAAACTGGTTTCATAGAGTATTCTAAAACTTTTTGGGACAAGACAGAGCTCATCACTGATATTAATTATAATTAATGAAGAAAAAAAGATTGTTTCTAGAGAGTGACTCTCAGAGGAATGCATTGATATATATTTTGCAAAAAGTATAAATATGAAAATTTGGCAGCATAAGAATAATGTTGGAAGCAATTAAACTAAAATGGAATCAAGTTCGGAGCACTTGCGGTTGAAACGACAGTATGTTCGAACTTTGTTATTTATAATAGACAAAATTACATTTTATCTTTGAATTTCTTGATACTACTTGATGGCGTTTTTTGATTTAAAGTGATTTATTGTAAACTTAAATAATAGCTAAAGTAAAATCAGGCAAGCATATTATTCACCCCACCTTTTTCTCTCCTTTTCTCTTCTTTCCTCAATTCGGCTTTGACTTTCTCCAAGTCTTCCTCGCGAGCCTTTTGAAGCAGAGCCGTTTCATCATCAGCCAAACTTTTCAAGCCTCCTTCGATTTCTTTGAACTTTTCTGATCGAAAATCGATTATTGTCTTGGGGTATTCAATGAAGAGAGGGTAGTTCCCCTTCTCGAGACCTCTGAACTTTTCCATGTACTGCCTCGGATGTAACCGCTGACAAGTGTTATTTAAAAGACAATACGTCGTCTTCAACAACTTCTTCATATCGTTCGGATTTTGGTTGTGAAAAAAAAATTCGAAATCTTCGAGTTTTTTCAAAGCGACCAAAGTGTGCCGCTGTGTAATATTGTAGGCAGCTGCTGCGCATAGTAAAAAACTGATTTCGTTAGTGAGGACGTGGTCCCACAGATGGAGCCACTCAGAGGATGTTAAAACTTCGGAGAAGGCTGTTTCCAGCAGTGGCCACACGTAGATATTCGAGGTTATGTTGTTGGAGGCGTAGTGGTGAAGCAGTTCGGGATCGTGCTCGAGCAAAATGTTCTCTATCATGGCAAGGATGTTGACCGGGGGTAGAGGGAAGTATTCGAACCAATGCTGACACCAGTTCACTAGAAAGTGTTAAACAAATAATGAAAAATATACACATTTCAAATTGAATAAAAAAGAATTACAAACATGACATATAGACATTTTTAAAAAATCAATGACATGAACAAACTTGGTTAAAAGAAACATGGTTAGAAAATGTAAGAAGTGCAATGGGTAAAAAAAAGTAAATTAGGGTAATGAACCATATTTCATACAAAATAGTAACTCATGGAAAAAATATGGAAAAACTTCGACAGACAACTCAGTTTCCTTTTTTTTAATTCAAAATGTACTTTATTGTCGAAGGAAAATATCCTTATTAAGAAAGCATAAATAAATGAAATACATCAGAAATTGATTTACATGTATAAATAAAATAAATCAGNTTTTGGATCTTTGAAAACCAAACTGTGAGCTACTCAGTAGCCTTTTTTTTACAAGGTGATAGAGATATCACCTTTGATAAAGTAGATGTTAGTGAAATAGGACGAAAATTGGATGGCTCATCCAGTTCACCTCTTTTGTGAATTGGAATCACTATAGCAGTTTTCAACACATCCAGAAATACACCAACTGAAAATGATATATTCTGCCAGGGTGAAAAAGAACATGATCTGGCAGTTTTTCTAATACATTTACTGATATTTCAACTAATCCATGTGTTTTTTTATTTCTCTCAATGTTTTCTTGAGTTCTTCAATATTTGCATGTTCTAAAATGAATTCTTCCGAAATTCTTATGTTACTCAGGTAGTTTAAACATACGACAGTAAATTAACATTTACAACACATATAAGGAATATGACTTCCGATGCAAATAGGATGCTTGGATTCATTTACAGAAATGGCAAAAGCTTCAAAAGTATTGCCACCTTAAAATTGCAATATTTTGCGTATGCTAGATCTAAGAGTATGGCTCTGTGTTATGGAATCCAGTTTACAACTACCATAAAACAGGAAGTTCCTAAGGAAGGAAGGAAGTTCCTAAAATAATAATAATAATAATAGGTCTTTATTCCCAGAATATTATGCTACGATCACCATTGAATTTTATGTGAAGTAGCTTCAATAAAATCTGTGAATACTGCGACATTCATTTCGACTCTCTGAACGCCTTTAAGAGTAAAGCCAAAAGTCGTTACTTTTCGCACAAAGGAAATGTAATTCAACTCTACTCAGAAACAATAGCATATAGACAACCACTTTCCCGCCTGTTTGCACTCTACTGAGTAAACGCTTTATTAGTTCAGTCGCTGTGGTGCGGATGTTAGCATCTGTCAGGAAACTGAAGGGTGATCCAAGGTACAATATGATCAAGGTACAACAGTCTCCCCTACATTGTCCTCAGGCCACGAAGTATCAAGACTTTCTTCAAAACTAATAAGTGGCTAAGGCAGTATAGGGTATAGGTCATAAGGCAATTTGTCAATAACTTTTATTTGTAAATACACATGATTGTCTCGCTACATCCCCCCTCACCTGTGATGATATTTCGAGAGTTTTTTCGATTTCGTGTCCTGCCTTAAGGTAGATTCTGTATAGAGCTGAGTTCGTTGGTTTGTTCCCATATGAGAGTTTGTGGTATCCTAATCTAACCGACAATTAGACTAATGTTAAAATTGCAGAAAACTCAAATGTGCGTTCAAAATAAGGAAAAGAAATATTTTGGTTGTAAAATTTATTTTCGGCCTTCAGGCCCTTTGCACCGCGAGGTCGTGGGCCACCGCCTTACGCCGCCTCTGAAATAGATCAGACAGTAGGAAAACCAGAATAGATCTAAAATGTGTTTGAAGTATTGTTTAACTATAGTGATAATTTTGTTTTTTTTTGTTCTTAGCAACACCTTGTACAATGAATTTTATTATTATTATTTTACAAACCTGACATATCTTAAAAGCCACGCCATACTATAGTTTGAAACTATCTGACACATCTCGTATACACATCATATTTTAATATTTTTTCTCAAACCCTCTAGAATATAATATACAGCTGCCGGACTGAGTCATGGCCGGTGAGAAGCCCCTCCCTCAAGATGTGTAGTAGATGTGTAGAAATCTGTTATCAATCTGTTAGATTATTCGTTTACCCCTCAATACGTACTATGTAAAAACAACAAACAAAATACTTTCTTTGTCATGCAGACCCAAACTTTACGGCCATGACTCAGTCCGGTAGCTGTATCTATAGAAAAATTCGTTACTTTCAATCACAAAACAGGGTATGAGAATAAAGTGAAACAAGAATAGAGATACAATTATAAATGAATGACGCATATCAAAGTTTTCACTTGACTGTTTTATCCGGAAACAAAATGAAACCATTTTGATTTGTTGTACTGAGTGTCACTCCATTGTACCCACCTCTTGCTTGACTATTACAATATCACCAAGGGGCCTTGTTCTTCGTGACTTCATTTTTTTTTCAATATCCTGCACTTTCACTTCAACAGGTGACGCAACATACTGCTTTATGCAATACAATTTCATTTCTCCAGAGCACAGCAAACAAGAAAGGTGAGTTCCGTCAGCAGAGCAGGCAAACTTGTTGATCTCCGTCTTCGAACTGAGTTCACTCAGGATGACATTTTGTTCAACATCGTAAAAATATATGATACCTTGGCCTGATAGGATGATCAGAATTTTGTTGGAGCCTCCATCGAAGGGCTGAGATACGAATCCAATGTGTTTCAACGTGTGGATATAGTCCGGTAAAGTTACCATTTTGGTAAGTTTCCAGCTACCCAGATCAAAAACGGCTAGGGTCGGTAAATAACCTGCGATAATCATAAACTGACCATTTCTAAAAATGAGAGGATCAATTCAGGAGTATTCTTATTCAAAAATATCCGAGACATTTTTTAATGAGTTTTCCACGAATTCTTCATCAAAAAAAATTTCAGAGGAAATTGAAATGTACTTGCATCAAGAAGTTGACTCTTTATGGGATCAATGTTTTTATAGCAAATATGAGATACAATTACAGTAGCTCCAACAGATTGGAATCACTCACAATTCAAAAACATTTTATATTCTAGAAATATGAACCTATGGTCCAATCAGATTTAACTATAGTCTTTCATGAAGCGCATCCTATCTTTGAAATTAAATGAAACAAAGTTTGTATGAGATATAACAGAACTTTTTTTATTTATTTGAAATACCTATCGACCATTTATGTGGAATATAACATCGTTCAAATGTCATTGTGAGATCGTATGTGGCATAACAGTAAGATATCTTTGATATTACAAAGATCCGCGAAGATTCGATGAACTCAATATTTACCATTCTCATAAGTTGAGCCTACACCTTGTTCCAATCAGATCTGAAAATCCTCGGAGTATACTGAACAGAAATGAAAGGTTTAAGTCACTATTTTTGGGAAAGCTATTTTCTTCCAAAATATATAATGGTTTTGCATCATTTCGGATTTCAATCTGCTTCTCAATTTCAGGAAGAATATTTAGAAACTAGATCTTCATTACAATTGAAAGGTCGCCGGTAGTGCTAACTACCTTGCTTGAAAAGTGGTAATGAGAAAGTGTTTTTTGTTATCTCCTTAAATAACATTAGAAAAAAATTGAAAATGAATTTATCTTTTTTTTTTAATACCTTTGGATATCAATCGAAGTGAACCGACCGAATATCCCGAACAAACAAAATCAATAATAAATTTCACTTCAGCTTTCTGCGTGACATTAGCTGGGTTAGTAGTTGTTTTTTCGTCGGATATCTGCCATATAATTCAAAAATATAAATCAGAATGAAAAGCACTATTTTTCATAATAAAAAACAATATGACGCCCATAATAGAAAAAAAAGTTGAAGATGATTGCCAGACAAGAATAGTGGATAAGTAAATCTGAACATGAAAACGTGTAGCTGAAAAAAAGTATAAATGAAAATGTGTTTTTGGTTTTGAGCTGTGTTGTCAAATAACGCTAGAAAAAACTAAAATTCCAATTTTCAATTCCAAAAAATCAAATACTAGGAATTTTTCAAGTTTAAAAACAGGATTTTGTTAAGCACAAAAAAAACGCAACTTGGCCCCAATTTGAGTTTTGACGTATCTCCTGTAGTTTAGTAGATCCCAATGGAGGGGATCGAACTTGAATAACCCTGTACATATATAGTAGTTTTTTTGGGTCTGGTAAAATAATAATATTCTTTTTAGATGCCCACGCTTTCGCTAATGTTTATTAGCCTTATCGAAGGCTGTTATATAAATTTCGTTGATATATCAAATTTAAAATAAGTTAGACGCTGTATTAGATTTCTAATAACTTTTTCAAATACATTCTTTGATGAAGAAGTGCCTATTTGTTTGAAAATTGGGAATTTTTTTTATAAGTAAGCACATCTCTGGAAACTATACATAACAAAAAAACAAAGTTTTTGAATGCGACACACTATTTAAATGAAATTAAGAAAGGTTAATGCAGACAAGTTGAGAGATGTTTGATTTTCGAATTATACATTATTTCAATAAATTGATGGATGTAGCTGTTAACTACATGGTATGAAATCATCATGAAAAATGAGAACTGAAACTTTCTATATTTTTTGTCACTTTTGTTTGTAACTAAAGTTACTGCAGTTTCGTCCTATAAGGACATTTTGAAACTTATACATTAAACCAAAAATGATTGATTACATTAGCCCTTATATAACACCACTGTCGGTAATAACAGAGGTACCTAACTTAACTGAGTACCTGAATTTTGTTCACCTGTGAACATCTGTAAACTAAATCGATTTGATCATTTAACAGGTTGCACCACCAATGCTTATGTTTATGAATTTCCACGGATTCCAAATAATTGAGTTTGCAACCCTTCCTTGCATATTGTAAAATTTCCGTATCGTTTAGATTCGGGAACTTGTGGGTATATCCCAAGGAATGATTTGAAAACTTCGAATCATTTTTACCTATTCTGAAGGATCTCTCATGTTCAGCATACCTTTTGAGAAATTTCGACACTATTACACTCCGGACACTTAAGCTTATAAACTCCAGATTTCTCCAACTTGTCCACTTTATCGTTGGCATTGAAAAGGAAATCAGATAACCTGGCAAGTGGTCTGAATGCCACTTCCACATCGTTTTTTCTGAAGAAACCCGCGATTATCTCTGTTCTTTTTGGGGAAAATGGTCAAATTCTTCTGTCAATATAGAAATTGGTTTATCGGTGTTGATCAAAGAGCCAGCCTAAACAAAATACTTTAAAATTTCAGACGGGCGGTTTGTGTTCTGTCCTCACCTTTTGTATTTTTATACATAAATAATTGATTATAAGCAATTGAATGCGTTTGTCTAATTTTATGTAATGATACCCGTCCTGTATAATTTCTCTTATTGCGCGTATTCGACACAATTATATAGCTCGCAGGTTGCTAGAAAATAGTGAATTTGTACCCTCTCCTTGATCTCCATATCAAGGTTAGCAGCAGCCATTTACAGTCCACTATTTCATCAAAAAATGAACACTTACCTTCATGCTAAGAATCAAGTATATAGTAAATTTTCTGTAAAATTTCACAGTCTAGCATGTTTTCAACCCGTTGAGTCCCAAAGATATCATCATAACACTACCTGTGCAAGAAATTTACATAAGTGCCACGAGTGTATTCCTCAGCAGTGGCATTTGAGCACATGAAAATGGTTATGTGTGTCTCAGTATCAGACTGAACGCTATTGAAAAGTTATAACGTCTGTCTTAGAATCACTGTAAAATATGATTAGAAAATCAGTTCTATTATGATTATCTGATGGATGATAGACTTTTTTTTGTATTCGTTGGGAGCTGTCTAACGTCTATTTCTCCCAAGTTTCTTGAAAACACTGTAACCTTATGGGCTCATTCCATTTTTCTCCCATCTTCTCCATGACACTCATTTTAACAATCTTCCCTGTCATACTTTATAAAGGTCATTTTCTGGATAAATGTCTTATTCTCCTGGATCATGAAGGTTTTCTATATGTGTTCCCAGGTGTGTTTTTCCAGTACTCTTCATGTTCTTTATACACCCATATTACAATCTGGTTCCTTACCACAATCTGAACATTTTGGTAACCCCATAGTTGTTTCAGGGTCTATACAAGGAGTTTATGATCCGTTCATGTCTGTCACACTCATCAGCTTTTCAGTTACCCGAGTGCCATGGCACCCAGTGTATGGTCAATCTACTGCTTCACTCAGTTCTTCACGGATCCTCTAACTCTAGAGGAAGATCTGGAACATCCTCAAGTGACCTTGATATCGAATGGATGAAGTGTACCCGAGATCGACAAGACCATGGAACTGAAGAGTTCCACGGTTCAAAACTGGAAGGAAGCTCAGATGGTTGCACATGCGTATCTACCATATATTCCTAGGGTCACATACAGAATTGGAAAACTCTTGGGGAAACACAACGTTAAAACGGTTTTCAAACCCACAAAGAAGATACAGCAAAGTATCAGGTCGGCTAAAGACAAAAGAGACCCACTATCACCAGCAGGAGTATATCGCATACCGTGCACTTGTAGGAAGGTATACATCGGAATCACCAAAAGATCCATGGGAACAAGGCTGAAGGAGCATGAAAGAAACCTGCAGATTAGGTCAAACGGACAAGTCAGCTGTCGCTAAGGACGCACTCAGTGAAGGAAACCACACTATTCTTTTGAAAACACGAAACTCAGTGCCCCCAACCACGGATACCATAGCCGACTGGTACGGAAGGCACGGAGGTACGGAGATCCACAAATACATTTCAACAGATAAGAAGAAACTGCGACCCTCAACTGAATATGGAATTCCATTCTAAGAAGTGGACGAATGTTATTGACAATTCACCAAATTTCAGGTACAGGTATCAGCACACCAAATTACCTGAATCAACATAAATACCCTTTATGCAGCCGTAATATCCAGTCATCGGAGATAAACTCAAAATGTATAAATCTCTGAAGGAGCTAGCCAGTGAAACGTCAGAAAGAAATTCTAAAAGTCGACAGCTTTCAAACCCGAAAAATAGGGACACTGAAAATCTCGGCCGCAAAAGCCTTTACCATTTTTGTCATTGTTGTTATTATTATTCCTAGACCAGTCTTGCCATATGTTAGTTATTATTTGTATTTTTTTAATTACTTCTCATTCATTAATTACTTTACAGCTAGTATATTCATTTATATCCATTAAATTCAAAATATTTTCGTTGTTTTCCACTTTAGTTTTTCTTTTATTAATTTATAAATGATTTGAGTGGTTATATCTACTTTTTATAATTTTATTTGTAGTATCTCTTGTGCCTTATTTAGTGAATCATGTGATCATTAATGGAAAAAACACAGATTACTAACCTAATCAAGGGTCTGTTAAAAATCTAATAAAATATGTTTTACTGTTAACCAGCTGTCATCTCCCTAAGAAACTTGTGCGAATCGAATATTAACGAGGTCATACCTTTCAACGATTTCTAGCACGGGTTGGATGATAGGCAGTGAAAATGTATTGTCTGGCCTTTGGGCTCGAACCACCAGTTCACACAGTGGTCGATGGGATGAGGGAACAAACCACCCATGTCAACCTAACTGACTACCGTTCCGCTAATTCGATTAATTGAAAATTGTTTGTGGAATGCTAGCTTATCTCTGGAACTTTGTGAACTACTATTAAAAAGCTATTTCTTCTCTTTCATACTCACAAATTTCAACAAATTATTCTTTTCCAAATTCAAAACTTGTATCTTTGAATTTGTCTCGAGATCCCACACGATGCCTTCCTCTTGAGACTTTGACAGGCAGTATTTGTGCTTCGCAAAAGAAACATATTCAACACCCAGCTCATGTCCTTGTAGTTTTCCAACAACATGCCCCGAATCAATATTAACGAGGAGTATGTCTCCATTACTCCTGCCAATGAGTAGTTCATTCTGGACGAGTGGTGAAAACTTGATGAAAGTGCAGGAGTCTAATATAGGCAAGGCCCAGAACTTGCAAGCAGAATAATCTATGATGTAGAAATGTCCTTCGTTGTCTGCTGAGACTATTAGTGGGTCAGTGTTGTGAAAACAGATGTGAACAAATCTTACTTTTTTGCTACCAGTAGAATGATGAATATTCAGAAGAAGCCTAAAAATTTATTCAAATCATTAACAGAGAAACACCCAATTAGGTGTAATGTGCTGTGGTAAGTACAGATTTTCACAATAAATTATACAATATAGATATTAATTTGTTCGATTGATGACCTTGATTTATTCTGTGGAAATTCATATTGAATATATTACTTATAATAAATGGTAGTTTTCTTTTTCTACCTACATTCTCAAACTTTTTAATTTTTATCTACGTAATGTGAAATTTTCATATTCTCCTCTACAGGAGGCGTACACTTTTAGTGAGATTCAAGTTCGAAATAATGACAAGCATAATTGTATTAAATTAGGATGACAGTATGAAGAAACTGAACTGAGAAAAAAAAAATTCCTAATATATAAACTATCAATTAATTTAGAATAAATAACAATGAATCATGAATTACAAGATAATTCATTGCTATAAATTAAATCAGCCTTAGCAAAAAGAAGAAGAGATAGATAATATATTTTTAGATCTGTTTAGCATTGCGTGGTTTAATGCATGAAAGGAAAAACTAGTTTATAGATCTCCAATCATGGCTTCAAGAAAATCCATGAATTATCCTTCTTTTTGAATGTATATTCAGCAGAAATTTTTATCATTTCAACAGGTAATTGTGGTCAATTATGATGAGTTCATATCACATTATTGAAAGATACTAACTGTAAAATACTTTCAAATCATAATAGGCTTTTTCGAAGATATTATTTCTGAAAATAATCAAGGCTCATAGGTTTTCATTGTACATTTTTATTCCACTGTATATGAATAAATCTTTCACCATCATTATTGTGAGCAGGGGAAATCTGACCAAGTTAGCTAATCTTGTATATACTGCGACTGATATATTTTTTTGTATCAGACTTACTGTTTCAAGGATGAATTGTGTTATTGCAGTGGGGATTTGTTGTTCAATGAATAGGTAGTGGTTTGCAGGTGTCTCATAACTTTGCTTTTCATACCAGATAGCCCATTTTTGTAAAACAAAAACAGTTTGTACCATGTTTCTGCTGCACACTCCCCAAAATGCAGTACTATATCTGATGTGTGAATCTACAAAGTCAAAATAGGCAGATCTTGCAAATGTTCTCTCTTGTTAGCAATTCTGAAAGTTTTCCACATAATCTGATTGCCTTTAGTTTCTCACATAAAAACTTGTATGCTTCATTGTTTTGAATGCTTTGAGGATTCAATACAGATTACATCTAATTGATGTTTTTTACCCAAAGTATTCAACATACACTATAAAAACAATAATAGATTGGAAGTTGTTGATCTACTCTTAACAAAGGCATTTTTTATGAGAATTCGACTGAATCCTCGATTTAGTTTAATTACTGGACAATAAGTCTCTATGTTGGTTTTATCAACAAATTTGTGTTATAAAACTGATTTCGAATACTGTGGAAATGTATCGAATTCTAGAGTTGAGGAAAAAAGTGCCAATAATGGCTTTGCAGGTCAATGGTATTTCAGCAACATATTTGGTATTCCATGACATGGTAACGTCTAATTTACTAACTGAGTAAATTTCCGGACTAATACTGCTGTTGCCGATTTGAAGGGTATTATCTTACTTGAATTCTACTTTTTTACAGATTGAAATGGTTCAGTAAAAGGATTTACAATATCAATTTGCAAACAAATTAGAATTGGATTATGTCCTTGTAATTTGTCAGAAAAAACATTGATAGAAACTGGAAATATTCTTGAAATAGTGTTCTTACCCATCATATCTGAGTGGTTTTAATTTGAATAACTTCTTGGTAACTCCTTGATTTATTGGCAAAGTTACGGGTAAATCCATATACTTATATTCTGCTTCTTTTCAGAATGAATGTAGACTAGAGCGATGCTACACAATTTAAAACTTTAATAATTTTTTAGGTTTGTTTTCCTTTTGTTTGTATTTAAACAAATTGTCAAGTTGAATTTGAAAGAGAACATTGTTGCCATCTATGAATATGAAATAGAAAATATAATTCTTTGTAATAACTAGTAATGTCACAACAAAAATGCATAGAAACATACGCAAAGTCTATATACGAAACAAAGATAGAAACTTTGGTGTTTCAATCATTTTGCTTATGTTTTGTCAATAACTCTCAACGCGAAAAATAAAATTGACGTAACTTTGTAATCATGTTGATAGATGGTGCAAGAATCGAAAGATGTCTCGCGTAATTTGTTGAGATCTTTTAATTATGAAACATAAATAAATGAATTTTGTTTGTGACACAATGGGTCAAATGAACACACCACGGGAATGAGTCCAAGTGATCACACCAGGAAAATTCTATGCACCTTGGTCATAACCCTTAAAAAATACTGGACAGGGAACGAAAAAAGTACTAGATAGAATGTAGAAGTACCTACTGAAAATATTGTGATATTTTGAAACACAATTTTGTCTTCATGAAATTTATACTTCGAGCAAGTGTTTTAGTGCATTACTTCTCATAAGAATGAAATTGAGATTGAATAATAATTGATTAAAAAATATTATATGCTATGAACATTGTCTGAATTTTAATCTACCAAGAGAGTAGATTTTACATTTACTGATCCTTGAGATAGACGAAATATACGGGAGATTGACACATTTTAATTAATCATAAAATAGAAAAATATAATTAACTTACTAATGACTCGATAGTGTGTCGTAGTGTGACTTTGTTTTCTTTTCAGGAGGCTGCTCACTTTCACTTTCTAAATTATCACTGTCAGGCATATTTGATTTTTAATTATTTTCAAAAAGTATTTATTTAGTAGAACATAGGTTATGTATACTGTAGTTAACACAAGTGTATACTCTATATGTATCCGAGCTCACTGTGACGACGGAGATGGAGCGTAATGTCAAACCAGTGGAAAGAGAATTGCACAGTCGCTTGCGTTTGGCGCTAATTAATATATTCTTCATTACTCTCTGTTTTTCGTTCTATAGTTATGGATTTCATGCAATACTAAATTCAGAATAAAGATGCCTATACACTAGTGTAGCAATAACTGATTCGTATAGATTTTTCATGCACCTCTGTCGTTCAAAATGGCTTGCCCGATTTCATTTACGTGGACCACTTTTTAATAAGAACGCTAGATACCGTCAATATTGCTGTTCCTGTGATAGTACAGTGTTGCATATTCTACAAAGTGCTGATATAAATTGAGAGGTAAATTGCGAATTGTCATGACATATAAAATATTATTTTAGTGAAAAGAGACATGTAAATGTCTATGTTTTTTACCACTTTTAATTGTAACTAACGTTACTGCAGTTTCGTCCTATATGGAAATTCTCAAACTAATACAATAAACTAACTTTAGGTTATGTACCTATACAAATTCATGAAAGTTCACCGACTTCTTTGAATTATGTTTGTGAATCTATAAAAATTTAGAATAATTAACGATGTCAGTTTTGTGAACAAATTAAAATTTTTACATTTACTTTACTGCCTATTGGATAGAAATCAAAATATTTTACAAGTGATGTTACATCTATGGATCGTTCCTCGTGATATTAGGTGTGTTTCGTTCGTATTACTCTATTCCAAATTTGTTTGTTCTGCGTAAAGTTCGATCAAAATACATTGAGAAGAGACGGCCATTAACTTTTGACGTAAATGACTCAATCTGAAATACCAAACATCAGTAGGAACAAAACGTACCTACCTATCGCAATCATATATAGATTGACCAATATAGATCGGCCAAAAGTGAGATAGGACTTACTTTTCATTTTCTGGAAAATCAAACATACCATTTATTCGTATACTTTGATTCATAAACTCAAATGGGCCTTTCATCAATATTGAAATGCACTTTTGTCTTCAACGTCTTTATTTAGTGTCTTCATGATTGATTTTGTCTTTTGAATATTTTACGAAGTCACCTTACTTTAGGTACAATGATCAATTGATGTCTAAAATCAATAGTACCATATTGCGGCAACCCAACTCGGCATACAAGAATTACTGAAACAAAAGCGCATTTCAATGTTTACCACTGTATATACATTTTAGTTCGGATGTAACCGCAAATTCTTACCGATACAAACCGAACATTTTGACAGCAGTTACCTGAAAAACCAAAAATGTGTATTTATTTTGGGACACAATCGATTGTCAAGTTCGAAAACAACTATTTATCTATTGTATTGATGTGAAACATCTATAGCCGCACGTAAAGTCGATTGCTGGCCTGGCGACCGGTCGCCACGCTATATGATAGTGTGATAATGAATCACCCGATGTGAAGACGGGGACCTATGAAAGATAGAACGATCTTACCGATTCAAGTAATCATGGAATTACTAAGATTTTGTGTACGAAACTGCTATTTTAAATTGAAGGACGAATTCTTTACGCAAGATGAGGGACTGCATTGATGATGAAGCACATCAACAACGAAAGAAGGAAGTCCACAACGACTTGCCATTCTTACACGTATTGGTGAAGGGGACCGACACTAAATGAGAAAATCTGTATACCAAAAACCCACTCATGGAATCCATCGACTAATCAATGAATCGACTAATATAATTGAAGGATACCCATTGCTCTCAGCTATATCCTTGATAACATTTTTTCAATATCGTATCTTTCTTTACTCAAGGGGAACCAAGCCTATGAATGAGAAAATTTAGTCCTGCCATTTTGTGTTGTGAAAAATGATGTGAACATATCTAGAAGTAGGTACTGGCATTCTTCCTATTAACATAAAATTTTAGACCCTGATTACTTCTAGTCACCAAGACAGCTTGATATGGTAATTCATCTTTGTTTTCAATTCCATATCTGAACTTGATGTTCAGAGTTCTGTTGTTAAGAGTTGAAACAAAGTTCTCTTCGTTGAATTTCTTTGTGACAAAAATCGCAAATATATAATCTCCATATCTGCATATCAGATCCAAGTCGGTGAAAAGTAATCTAACTACTCTTTTGTTTTCAATTCGAATCTGCTCATGAATAGATTATCTATAAAGGGTGACAGTGGGTTTTTCATTTTCGTGCCGTCGTGCTGTCTGTAGAAATAGCTGTTGAACTTTTAGCAATACTGTTGCTTGCATATTTCTGTTAGTTGTATGTATGTATCTCCACTTAAACTATTGACCCTCTGGAAATCCGTCAAATATTGGTATAGCAACACGAGGATACCTACATCAAATGAAACTAAAATCTCTCTATCTCGCAGCTCATCCTTAATTGTATCTATAAACTCATGTGAATAACCAAAACTTGAAATCAGTTGTGTGATGTTTCATACTGTTTCAAACTGTTTGGTCAGTCATTCAGCAATTTTATAAGTAGGGGCATTTTGGCGGAAACAATTGTTTGCACCTACTTCACGACTTGTGAATTTTTGGTAGACCGTATATTTTAGGAACTGTAGGATTAAAAACCTATAGACTTCTGTTCAAAGTCGGTGAGAGCACATTCACAGCCTTCTTGAGTGCGTTTTTTTATTTCTGAAAGTATCCTAGGCAATTGGTTCCTTTGTAATTCGGGACCGTTTTCAATTGAATTATCAATTCTCTCATAGTAACCTGATTGTTCAATATCACAATCTCATTGCCTTTGTCTGCATAAAATATCTTTGTCTTTCATTTGATAGCTTTTTTTCCACCAGAAATCATTGAAAAGTGTACCTGGAGTATAATCTTTCAAATATAAATCCCGAAGACCTCAATTCGGTTGGTGAAACGAGAGAATTTGCAAGACTGTTGCTGCAGTTCTGGTGTTTTGAAATAGTGATTGTTTGAATATTCACTACATTCCAAATGAGTATTGTAATATATACATACACATACTTTCATATATAAAGTATTTCCTCTGAAAATTACCCCCACTCGAAATTCAGAAATTGCCCCCGTTCCCGAAATTTAGATATAAATTTGCCTCTGAGGAGGGTTGGGAGTAGTATGAGTCTTCCAACAGGGACTTTCGAACTTTGACAATTGAAACGGATATAGCATTCAATGACACGTGCAAATAATAAAATTTCCGCTGTCTGTGAGAGTGCAGGAGAATCCAGGACAGTCGATTTCGCGTCGCTCACAAGAACTCGTCCATTCTCAGACCATAACTCGGCGAATTTTGCGTCGTGACTTGGGCCTGCACCCGTTCAAAATTCAACCGACCCAGGAACTGAACGTAAACGACCATAGACAACGAAGTGTGTTTGCTGAATGGGCTCTGGAGCAGTTAGTAATCGACTCTAATTCTCATTGAAAAACTATCTTGAGCGATGAGGCCCATTTTTGGAACAAACAAAACTGACAAATTTGGGATGACACCAATTCACATGAGATCCAAGAGCGTTCAATGCTTCCCGAAAAATTCACTGTTTGGTGTGGATTTTGGGTTGGCAGCGATTCATATGAGTGCTCGCTGTTGACCTGAGTTGGATTATCTGGACACCGACCACATGTGGTTTCAATAGGACGGCGCTACGTGTCACACAGCTCATGCTCTGCACGAGCGATTTGAGGGCATGGTCATCTCACGTGGAGGTGATGTGAACTGGCTAACGAGATTGTGCGATTTGACCCCGTTAGACTTTTTCTTGTGTGATTTTCTTGAGTCGCAGATGTATGTGAATAAGCCACAAACCTAGGTGATCGTTTTCGAGATATTTACAATTTTCTATATCGATGCATATTCACTTATTACTAAGTGAAGTTGCTGAGAACATTACAAAAACTAAGTATGTGGTGGGTCTCGTCAAAATAAACAACTTTTTTCCATCGAATGTTTGACGAAGAATGATTCGTTTTCGAAATACAGATTGTTGAAATTTTTCAAAATATGGTAGGTTTTTAAGTTTTTTGAAATTTTGGTTATTTTCATCAAACTTTATACGCAGTATACCCGTACAGACTTCTTCTCAACTGAGCATTATCGAACTGCTTATTCAATGTAAATTAAAAAAAAATTGTCAGGTTTAATTATTCAATTAGGTATCCCAAAAGAAAAAATCGACCGGATTGAGGTCAGGTGACCTCGGGGGCCAATGCTCAGTGCCTCCCCTTCCTATCCATCGTTGGGGATATGCCACGTCTAAAAAATTTCTTGCTATCACACTAAAATGAGCAGGAGCTCCATCGTGCATAAACCAAGAGTGATTTCGGAGATCAATGGGAACATCCTCCATAAGTTGGGGAAGCTCGTGTTCCAAAAAATGTAGGTAAGCATCTCCATTTAAACGTAAGGGAAGAAAATAGGGCCCAATTAAATAATCCCCAATTATGCCCACCCTTACATTAAAAGAGAATCTGTCTTGGAAATGAATTTGCTTTATCGCATGTGGGTTATCTTCCGCCCAGATGTGGTTGTTATGAAAGTTCATGATACCATTTCTTTAAAAATTAGTCTCATCTGTGAAGAGTATTTCCGATAAAATTTGCGGATGTTGTTCGACTTTTCTTTGAAGCCATTGAGCAAATTCAATACGTGGTTGGAAATCACGTAGCGTAAGTGCCTGGACAGGCTGAATATGATAAGGATATAATTGCTGTTCCTTTAAAATTTTGTAAATTGTCATGTGGCTCACATTTAAAGTTTGACTACTTTTTCTTGTACTTGTCTCTAGATGTTAACTAATTTTTTCGAGAACCGCCTCCTCCAATTCTACAGTTCTTGTACTGCAGAATTTGTTTCAAAGCTTCCAGAGTCGGAAAGTCGCCGGAAAAGATTCGCAAATGTCACGCGTTGGGAATACCTTTCCTGATAGATGCGTTTGGCATCGCTTTAATTTCCGTCAGCCAAGCCGTATGCAAAAACCATATCAGCCATTTCAGCATTCGTAAAGAAGGGCATAGTACCAAAAAATCACATTATAAACTCCGAATTGTGAATTTGTCAATAAATAGTTGAAAATGTGACAGCAAACTTCTATTTTTATGAACAAACTTTCATAGCCTACTGGATTTAATTAACTTAATTTCCAAGCGGAGAGTGACAAAAGTTATTGAAATCAAATTTGGCTATAAAGTAATATATGCCTCGATATAGAAAATTGTAAATATCTCGAAAACGATCACCTTCAGCGTTGTTGAGAAGGTTTACCTTTTTTACTTGGAAAAGATGTGAGAATTAGGTTTTTTCATGAAAAGTACCTACCAAAAGTTGACTGTCAAAAAAATTTGGGCAATTTGAAATAAATAACGACAGGCGTACACAGCGCCCTCTGAATGTTACATGAAAATTAATATGAAATTATGATTTCCCACGTCAAAAAAAAACCCGCGGGTACTGAATTTCTTGCAAATAACTTATATTTTGCAAGAGTTATTTTCAAAAAGCGAACAAAACATTCAATTTCAACACCCCGTATCTCCGAAACGAAGCATTTTCGGACACAAGTTCCTATAGATTTTTTTTCTTACAATTGTCTCAGGAATACGTCACTTGAATATTCTAATGTACTTATGTTTCACCCTGTATAGCCAGTCCACTTACTTTGGTTCTATCTACCTTCACTTGACAACACTCCGAAGCCACCGATTTATAGGATCCCCCTGACGTCACATTTTTTCGCGTTCGATTGTCTGAAGTTTTATCATTTCTATTTAGTTTTTGATATTTTTGTGTTACGAGAATATCTGTATATGTGATAAAGTTCCGTTGACGCATATTTTTGAATTAATAAAACTTTTCTTCAGCAAATACCACTGACCAGTTACATGTTTTTCAATGTTCCCCCAGTGTCAAATTATCACAGTGAAATTTTGTGCCAACATATTTCATTTATTCTTCACTTGATCTGCAGCCTGTATATGAAATGCTTATCTAATCGTGGATAGGTCTTTAAAAATAATTCAATCTAATTATAATATGCTTTTGAAAACATGTATTGAGTAATATTTTGATTAAATATTATGTTATCAGAATAAGAAAAAAAAGATAAAAGCCACACTTAGCAACCACTGGCCTTATTCTGATAAAGTTGTAGCAATATCGGGATCTGGTGAGTTTTGAATAAATATTCCTTTATATAATTTTATGACGCTGAAATATAATAAATTTATTTTCAATAGATGTTTTTCGTAAGATGAGTCAATACTTTTCAGACAGTGAAAGGTTATACTGACAATAAAATCCATAGTTGTTTTATGAAATCGAAAAATATATTTTTAAAATTATGTAGTTTGTCTGTCTGTTGCTTGTACAAAAGTTTTGCTGTAATCACAAAAACAAGATATCGACATGAAACTTGTATGAGTACTTGATTCAGTAGTGGTTTGATCCTATCAGATTTTGAAAAGAATCAGAAAATGTAAAGGGGTTTTCACGAAAAACTTACCGGTCTGAAATCTCCACAGCCACTGTAGATATATACGATAATGTTTCCTACTTATTCACCAAATTCACACACCTGTTCATGCAGCTGCAGTTTCGTAAGAATGTATCATCTTTCCCTCCAACCGATTTCTTGGAGTCTTTGATGTCTACAAGATACTCGTTAGGACAACAAGAGGATTGTTCCGAATTCTTGGGGTTCTTGTTGAATACTCTTCGTGAGCAAAACAATATCAGAATTAATACTCCTGACCGCTCTGAATTGAATGATTCCGACTTGTGTTTGTTAATCTTTCGCTGGAAAAATCCTCACTCGGTGAATTTGTGGAACTTCAACTAGCGTTTCCTAATATGACTAATAACTAGTCCGTGCAAAGCTTATTCATCTGAAAATGGAACTTTTAACAGGTGATGATCGACTGTATTGCCAAACATGCGCCAAACTAACTCACTGTTAAATAAGGAAACAAGTATAGCTGAGGCGCCAGTCAATCTAATAATAACACTGATGATCTTCAAACATGACTCAACCTCTGACGGAAGCACCAAACTCTTACGAAGGTTCGAAATAGATGAACACTTGAATCTATCAGACCACTATTATAATATTCATGCAGTTACTGTTCACTGTGGTTCTGGCGTTGAATTTGGTCATTTTTACGCCTTGGTCATAGACTGGTTTAAGTTTGACGATAGTCGTGTCACTAAGTGTTCTGGCGATGTATTGAATTTATTGAAGCCTCTGGAGATCAAGATCTTCAGATGGTGTGGTGCTGCGCCAATTAATTTTCGTTGTTGTTTTATTATTTCATGATTTGTATTTGGGAAGTGTTATTACATCACTATTATGCATGTTATATACATATAAACCTTCCTCTTGAATCACTTTATCTATTAAGCATACATAGGGACAGACAGGGGGAAGTGACTTTGTTTTATACTATGTAGTGATTGATGTAATGTAAAGCGGCTTACACACATAGGAACCTGGTTCGTCACTCCTTACACGCAGTGGAGGGGAATGTAAACAACGGTTCGCCATTCATTCCAACGGTTGGGATGAGTTTTTCGAAGATTTCAGCTGCTATTGTTGTATTATGAGTTTGGGGATTTTACGAGAAAGAAGAAGAAAAGATCGCAATGGACCAAGCAGTGGCTTCGTGAGAGAAAAGTTGTCTCACCTTAATCTCTAATATCATCTTAGGGAGAACAGTGCGAAAGATTTCACCTATTATTCAACAATGACCGAAACATAATTCAATTATTCATTGGAACTTGTGACACCCAACATATCAAAACAACTCACATGAGAAAGTCGATATCGGCCGAACATCGCCTAGTTTCTATACTTCGCCACCTAGCTACTGGAAGAAACTTGGACGACTTAAAGTTTTCGTTCGCCATATCACCACAAGCACTATGAAAAATGGCGAACAACGGTTCCTCTCCTCCACACACAGACGAAGTTGGTGCGCCCTGACGGTGAACCGAACAAATGTTTTCCAATCCGATTTAAGACCAAGTTCGTGAGAAATTTTGGCGATCTTGGTTCGTTAAACACCACACACAGGGGAACCAATGACGAACATGGTTCGTTTGAACCAAGTTTGACGAACCAGGTTCCCATGTGTGTAGGCCGCCTAACATAACCGCGACTAGTGGAGACGAAAAACAACTGCATTTTATTCGTATCACTTTGACACGCGTTACCGTGAGACGAGTATCTATTTGTAACAAATGGCAAACATGTTCACGTTTGCTTGATGAAAATTATTAACATTTTCCATGATAATAATCAACCAATATTCACAAACAATGTAGCTTCATCGGTAGTGATAAAATTACTACCCTAGAATCAAAGCCTTTCCGGATCCCTCGATTAAGGACCTAAACGACTCAAAGAGTTTTTCATCAACATACGAATCTTTTTTTCTGGAGCCTGTCAGTCTTGAGGAATTAGTTGATGCGATAAAGTATCTCAAAGACAGTAGTTCTCGCGATATACACGACCTAAATAGCCAGATGATAAAAACAGTGGCCTACATAATCGCAATTCTACTATTATCATTAATTAACGAAATTCTTTTGAAGGGAGTATTTTCCGATGTTTTCAAAATTTATAAAGTGATACCTTCATTTTAAAATGGTTCTAAATCTTCACTGGATAATTACCGTCATATTAGTATAATATCTATACTTATCTACACTTTGAAAAACGGTTCTACTTCAATAGTCTACTACTCAAGTAGCTGACGATCTAGTGTCCAACATAGTCGAAGATTTTGATCAGGAAAATAACTCTTTTTTGACTCTAAGTATATGACCCGATAAAGGATTTTGACTGTGTATTGCATACTATTTTTATTGAAAAAATGAGTTACTATGGTGCCAAGGGCATAGCTCTCAAGCTCGTCCAGTCCTATTTCGATGTTGTTGTGAACAACATAACGTCAGACCACTGTTTAGGAGCATCCACGCAAAAGTAAACAAATACATTTGAAATATATCTGCATAAAACGATAGCCACAATTTTCGAAAAATTTGGATTTTCATTTTTGTTGATTTTTTTTAAATATCAGAAAATATGCTACAATGTTTATTTTATTTTTGCTAAAATATTAGAGGAGTTTTTCGATATAGTGATATGGATTTGTTTACTTTTGTACCGTTTTGCTTGACCAGCTTGTTGGAATTGTTCTCTTTTGACTGACATATAATAAAAGTCGTTTTAAGCAGAAACATATTTATTAAATCACCCAAGAAAAACATTACAAATAAACAAAAACTTGTATTCCTACTTGAGAAACTATCATGAACATTAAAGGTGAAGCGCAGGATCTTCTTCATTTAAACAGTCGCAACCTCTTCCCTGTTCTACATCTTCAACGTTATCTTCTTCTATCATCTGTGTAGCATTTCCAATTATATTGCCATCAATGATACTTTTATACCAAGCTAGTTCAGGATCTGCCCGCCAGTCATCATTAAATTCCGCCTTCAAAAGACGTTCAACCATTAGCGACTTTTTCAGGTGGTAAGTTGCATACTAAAGGTAGCTGTTCCAATTCATAATTGAAAAAGAAATTACCTTAAAAATAAAACCTTTCACGCCGTTCCCGCTCCCTTTTAGTAGGTTTCCGTTGACTTTTTCGAGATCCACTGTTACCCTCACCTACTGAAATCAAAGAGTCATTCATTTCAAATAATATATCAATAAAGACACCACTAAAAACCAGTAAATTACTCCAAACACTTCTAGCTGACGCAATAGTGAAATATCTTTGCAGGCGTGGTGGTCTCTATCGTTGCGTATGGCTATTACCCAAAATCGCGGAACAGTTTGCACTACTAAAATATGTTCAGATAACCTGCGTTAACCGTTTTGTACACTGTTAAACACAAGATGGCACACTATGTAAATTATTAGGCAGTTCTGAAATACTTCTGGATTTGTTCAGTTTTGCATGGTTCATAATAGCGCATTCGTATTTTCTGCAAGGATTTGTTGCTTTTTGAGAGAAATTTTGCTTAAATTGACGCAAATCAATGGTTTACGGATTTGTTGCTATTTGGTTGAAATTCCTGATTTCACCTCACCATTGTACAAGGATTTATGTACTTTTGGTTGAATTTGGGCATAATTTCATAGAGATGATCGAGGTCTACATGATGCAATATTTATCTCATTTTGTGGTAAATATGGGTTTGTTTACGTTTGCGTGGATGCTCCTCTATTGTTCTTGATACATATCAATGATATATGTAGTTTAATGAAACCAGCAAGATGTACTTTTGTTTGTAGATGATACGACTTTATTATGTTCTAACAAAGACTTAACCGGCTTACAACTAATGACGCGAGATAGCGAAACATTAGAGCAAATAATTGGTTTGCTGCTAGTAAGCTGACTCTGAATGAAAATAAAACTCAAGATATGATTGTTGTATTTTTCAACTAAAAGTATATATTTTTCTGGATTCGTTATTGATAATAGATTGAGCTGGTCTGATTATATCAATGCTGTGACTCGCAAACTTTCTACTGTTTTATTTGCCTGAGACGATTAAATAATGTGGTCAGCTTGATGACGTTCAAAAGGTCCTATTATGGAATATTTCACTCAGTTACGGTATTCTGATTTGGCGTCATTCAGGTAACTCCGTTAGTGTTTCAAAAAAAGGTCATGGGAATAATCGCTAAAGCAGGTTACAAAGAGCTCTGTCATCTATTTTTTATTCAACTTGGCATCATGCCACTTCCTACATTATCTACAGGGTGTTTCAAATTCGAAGATGGTTAAATTGGGGCAAAGTTGCGCATTTATCTGAATAACAATATGTCGTTGAGAAAGTTCTGAAATTCCGAGTATATCCGGAGATATCCGGAAAAAAGGGACATTTCGGAAAATGGTTTTTATTTTTTTCCTGGCTTTATTTTTCGAAAGATTTGAAAATAAATTGCAGTTCCACATTGCCACTTTTTCCCTGCTACATAATGGTGTTTTCAGATTTGTTATCCGACGGTTCGTCTTCCGGCCACCATCGTCAACTTTATTTTTTCTCTTGGGCGCTACACTGGATTCTTTCTGTTTTGAATAGAACCAGATTTTACCTTTTCAATAATGTATCATAAGTTATCATTCTTTTTCGAAAAATTGAACATATAAAAAAACATCAATTCTTATCATAATAGGCTTTGACTTAAAAATTTGACTTTCAATTCATTATACTCAATGACATTTTGTTATTGTACCTACAAGTCATTGAATTTTGGGCGAAAAATGGCTTTCAAGAATGAAGCAAAAAGAGATATGATACAAATTTACTACAGATACGATAGAAACAGTGTTAGGACATTGGAAATGTATTTAAACTTATATCCCGAAAGACGACAACCACATCGAACTATGTTCAAGTTATTGAATGCAAATCTCACCAAGTTTGGTTCGTTTGAAAAGTCAATAAAAAAATACGGAGACTGAATCAACAATAAAAATTTGATGATTGCGGTGTGTATGAGGTAAATTAGACGTTGTGTTTTTTTCAATGAAAATGAAACTTTGAACCAATAACAATAATTAACTATGATGATAACACAACTGTGCCCATCTTTGAATATTATTCACAGCACGATTCATTTCCCTCCTCCTCAATCTTTCGAACTCTCGAACAATGCTGTGCTGAAGATCCTCAATATTTTGATATTCCCTCTGACCATAAACTCTATTTTTCAGTGTACTCAATGAGAATGTATCCATACCACTTTAGTCTAGGGATCTTGCTGGCCACCTCACCGGCCCATTATTCTCTATCCACTTATTACCAAACCTTTCAGTCAGGTAATTAGATACTGGTATTTTTTTCATAGTGTTGAAACCAGATGTTGTTATAGTTACCCAAAGGTAGATCATCCAAATAGTCTTCGAAAATCGACATTAAGAACTGGTGATAGGTTTCTCCATTCAGAATTCCGTCAAATAAATGAGGACCCAAAATTCTATCTTTGCATATTCTTGCCCACATGTTAATACTAAATCGCACTTGATGTGAAATTTCTTGGAACTGCCTGGGGTTTTTTATGCTCCAAATGTGTTCGTTATTTCGGCTGAATATCCAACAATTCGTTAAAGTGCTTTCATCTGTCCAGATTACATTTTCCTGGAAAACAGGAAAATCAGGTCTTCTCATTAGCCAATTACATAATTCTAATTGCCTTTCTGGATCACCTGGATGCAATTTTTGGGATATGTGTATTTTGTAACATTTCAAACCGCTTTTTTTGAGACGTCTCCAAGCACGTGTATGAAAAATATTCATTTCGGATGAAATTTGACGTGTAGATTTCCCCGGGTTCATGTTTATTTGTAAATTATCAATTTTTATTGATAAGGACACAATTTCTAACTTATCTCATACATAAGTCATTTATCATTTTTTTTTAGTTGCCTGGTCCATTCTGTCTCCGTATTTTTTTCTTGGCTTTTCAAATAAACCAAATTCGGTGATATTTTGATTCAATAACTTGAACATTGTTCGATATGGTTGTCGTCTTTCGGGATACAAGTTTAAATATATTTCCGATGTCTTAACACTGTTTCTATCGTATTTGTAATACATTTGTTTGTATCATATCTCTTTTTTCTTCATTCGACAAAAATTCAATGATTTGTACTATAATAAAATGTCATTGAGTTTAACAAATTGAAAGTCAAATTTAGAAACATCAAAGTGAAAGCCTATTATGACAATAATTGATTTTTTTCAATATCTCCAATTTATGTCGGATAGCAAATCTGAGAACACCATTATGTAGCAGGGAGAAAGTGGCAATGTTGAAGTGAAATTTATTTTGGAATCCTTCGAAAAATAAAGCCAGAAAAAATAGAAATTATTTCCGGTATTCCTGTTTTTTCCGGATATCTTCGGATATACTCGGAATTTCAGAACTTTCTCAACGGTATATTGTTAGCCAGGTAAATGCGCAGCTTTGCACCAATTTACCCATATTGTTAAATTTGTCAGACATTGTGATATTCATGTATATGGAACGAGATCCATAAGTTTAATGAACCTGCCCCGAAATAAATCAAGAAAATTCACTAAACTAACATTTGTATATTCATTTTCACTCGTCTCTGAAGTCATTAAGCCTTGCAGAGTTCACATATTCTATTGAAAAAGTTCTTTTTATAACATTGAGGAATACATTAACGTGACAAAGTCTTTTACTTGTGAGAGACCTTATTAAATACTTAGTTCATTTATTTTATAATTATACTTTCAATTAACATACACTCTTCACTTTTATATTTTTTTAGTAGATTTTTTTATCTTTGTAACTCCAAACAAGGATTCTGTATTCATGACTTGCCTAAATATACTATAGTATGTCTATATTTGGTCTATATATGGTCTATATTTAAAAAAAATGTTTACCTGTTCCAAGTCCCAATTATTGATACGATAAAAACTTGAAATACTTCCGGAAATTAATATTTTTATCTCGCAACGAGCGTAACGTGACGCTGTGACGTTACGGGTCATTTGTTACGATTGGATACGTGCCTCAACCGAACGGGGTACGAAAAACGCTTCAACTATCTATTATTTTCCAGGTGAATAAGTACAAATAATCCAATATGGCGCCAAAATTCAGACTTCATTATTTCGATTTCACCGGCAGAGGAGNGTTTAATTATTTAATTAGAAAGTGCTACATTTCGGAGTTTGTAAAGAAACAATTTGGAGAAGTACTATGTTATTTATTAGGAAAATAAACATGCAAAAATTAAACGAAACAACTATTACAACAATTGTTCAAAGTGACGACCCCCAACAACAGTAATACAAGCTTCTGCTCTCCTCATCAATGAATTCCGCACCCGTTGAAAAATGCCCGGAGTGTTTCTTATCGTTTCGTAGCAAGTTATGATGCGATCCCTCAACATTTTCTCGTTTTCAATGAGGCTAGCATAAACTAGTGAATTTAGGTGTCCCCAAAAAAAAATCGACGGGATTGAGGTCCAGTGACCTCGGGGGCCAATGCTCAATGCCTTCTCTTCCTATCCATCGATGGGGATATGCTACGACTAAAAAATTTCTTACTATCACACTAAAATGAGCAGGAGCTCCATCGTGCATAAACCAAGAGTGATTTCGGAGACCAATTGGAACATCTTCCATAAGTTGGGGAAGCTCTAGTTCCAAGAAATTCAAGAAATTCAAACGTAAAGAAAAAAATAGGGCCCAATTGAATAATCCCCAATTATGCCTAACCATACATTGAAAGAAAATCTGTCTTGGAAATAAGTTTGCGTTATCGCATGTGGGTTATCTTCCGCCAAATGTGGTTGTTATGGAAGTTCATGATACCAATTCTTGAAAAATTTGCCTCATCTGTGAAGAGGATTTTCGATAAAATTTGCGTTGTTCGACTTTTCTTTGAAGCCATTGAGCAAATTCGATACGTGGTTGGAAATCACGTAGCGTAAGTGCCTGGACACGCTGAATATGATAAGGATATAATTGCTGTTCCTTTAAAATTCTGTAAACTGTCATGTGGCTCACATTCAAAGTTTGACTAATTTTGCTTGTACTTGGATGGATGTTTACTAATTTCTTCGAGAACCGCCTCCTCCAATTCTACAGTTCTTATAGTCCGTGGCCGTCCTACTGCAGAATTTATTTCAAAGCTTCCAGGTTCGGAAAGTCGTCAGAAAAGATTCGCAAATGTCGCTGCACAAGGAGTCACGCGTTGAGAATACCTTTCCTTATAGATGCGTCTTCAAAAACCATATCAGGCATTCCATCATTCGTAAAGTCGGGCATATCACTTTATAAACTCCGAACTGTGAATTTGTCAATTAATAGTTAAAAATATGACAGAGAACTTGTATTTTTGTAAAGAAACTTTCATAGCCTACTCGATTTAATTAACTTAATTTGCAAGCGGAGAGTGACAAAAATTATTGAAATCAAATTTGGCTATAAAGTCATATGCATCGACATAGAAAATTGTAAATATCTCGAAAACGATCACCTCCAGCGTTGTTGAAGAGGTGTATCTTTTTTACTTGGAAAAGGTATGATTTCCTACCACGTAGAAACGGCTACATCCATCAGTTCATATTAATTTAAAAAAAAAACAGAAATTCCACTCTCAAAACTTGAACAGGCCCACAAAATATTCTAATTTTAATGAGTTCATCAATGAAATGTGTATTTCATTCATTCTCGTCAAAGTAACAGAATTGAAAACACTCAAACCTGTTTTTCCTTCACCAACGATACCTTTTTCACACAAAGATTATTTACGCTCGGTTCAACAAATGGAAACCAACTTTCAAAAACTATTTTAGAACATTTGTTTCGATTTAAAGCACATCATGATATCAACAACGTCCGATAAAAACATCACCGGAGTCAACAATTACCGGAACAGCACCCCGTTCATCGAAGCAGTTACATAACACCGAACAGAGTAGATAGAAACAGTCACAGTCTAAGATAACGAACACGTGCGATAGGAAAAAGATCAAGAAAGGATTCAGAGAGTAGCGGAAAGGACCTAGTCATCCTTGTTTTTGGTCGCCATCGTCATGTTCGACTGAATATCCAGCATCCCATTTCGGAGTCGAGGACCATGCGTTCGGCCGCCTGGTGGGGGGACATTTCACAGCGGAAAATGCTTTTCCAGAGGCGTGGTGTGGACTCTGCTGTGACGCGGTTTTGGTATATCGAGCCTTCGGTCGTGGTGACGGAGACCGCTTTTCGGGGTTTTGAAGAAGGATCAGGAGAGTGTGATAGGTCAATAGGTCAAATACGTTCTTATGAATGGAATGAGGGTTACGACATTGCTTTGGGATTCGAAATTTGTGGAAATTCTACGGATTTTTCAATCATGAAAACAAAAGAACAATATACAGGGCTATTCAAATTCGTTTCTGTACATGTGGATCTCGTAAACGATAACAAAGAGAGAGTCGGTTAAATTGTTGCAAAGTTGCTTATTTTAGAGACCTATTCAATGCTATTGGCACTTGATGTGGGCTATCAGAACACTATAATTGTAATAAATATTGAAATGAAGTAATTTATATACACAAAAATATTGATGGCGCAATAAATGTTCGAATTGGAGTCCTTCCATTTTGAGACAAATGATGGGCCAATAAGATGGCCTGCAAGATCACCAGATCTTACTATTTTGGACTATTTTCTATGGGGGACATTGAAAAATAGGGTTTACGCGCTGGCAGAGATATAGAAAATGTGAAAGACTCGAAATTGAGGATTTTGAATGATTTCGCAACAAGTAGCAAATAAGTGTATTAAGAGCAATAAAGAATATGAAAAACCGAGTTCAAAAATGTCTCGAAATGGAAGGACTCCAATTCGAACATTCATTGCGCCATTAATTTTTTTTGTGTGTATAAATTATTTCATTTCAATTTCCATTCCAATTATATTAGCAATTTTTTGTATTTTAGTCCGGTCCAATTAGAACAAAAAATAAGAGTGAAGCTACCTAAATTCCCACCAAGCTAAAAATCAGTAAAATTGTTTGAAATATGATTGAAAATAAAATTTAGAAGCTTCCCATCTTTCCCCTGTATGGAAAAAATTGTATTCAAGGTCAAAGTTCAAAAAAATTAGTTTTTCGCGATTTTCAGCAAAACCGTAAGTTTTATCAAAAAAAGACTTCAGAAAAAAATTGTAGATCATAAGATTATCTACAAAAAATTCATCAATATTTTTCCCCTACGAGCCACCGTTTTTGAGATATAACGATTCAAAAAGTTGTAATGAGTACGCCACGTATATACATCTCTGTAGTTATAATATATGTTGAAATATTTTTCGATCGGTCATTGTAACTTACATTTATAATAAAATATACATAAGTCATAACTATAACAATATCAGGTAAAATGAAACCCACTCCCTTAATTTATACGCCATTGTGACCTTGAAACATCTGTCCCCTGTTCAATTGTGTGCGTGGCTGCTCATCAACATCTTTTTCGGGTATATTACCAAGTTCAAGTGTGACTTGATTATCAGCTAGACCCTACAGACTGGGGTTGGAAGTTGGTCAACAATTTTTAATTCATTAGAACCAGTCTTCCACCTGCGCCGGAGAAACTGCTGAACACAATTTTTTGCAACTGCAAAAGGGGGAAAGTGGTAAATGTAGTTGCAGAAAAGCCGGACTGTTTTGTTCTCTGGCATGTACACATTGTCATGTCCGATCGTGCTCTAATATTGAATCACCAACAGTTGCGGATCCGTTTGATTCCAAAGAGGCAACATGCGATACATCGCTATTAAAGAAGTTTACATGTAATCAGGATGAAGATGGAGAAGAAAAAGAAGAAGAAGAAGAACAAGATGAACAAGAACAAAAAGATCAAGAAGAAGAAGAATAATTTGAAAGTTCCAACTCGGACGATTGAATTTCACTACTTTTTTTTTAACTTAAATTGCTTTTATCTTTTCAATCTCTGCCAATATCCATTATTTTGAAATAGTTTCAAATTAAACAGGATCACAACTGACCCGTGGAATAGGCCTACGGGGGAAACCACGTTGAAAAAAACGCGCTAAGTGTTTCCACACGTGTGCATAATATGACGATTACAACTTTTACCAACCTTTTGAATCGTTATATCTCAAAAACGATGGCTCGTAGGAAATAAAGTATTGATACATTTTTTGTAGATAATTTTAGGATCTACAATTTTTGTCTGAAGTATTTTTATGAATAAACAAATTTTTTGACCTTCGACCTTGAATAATTTTTTTCCATACAAGGGAAAGGAGAATTTTCAAATTATATTTGTAATTATATTTTAAACAAACTAACTGATTTTCAGCTTGGTGGGAATTTAGGTGGCTTCGAATGTCTAAATTGACCGGACTATACAGTTGATATTCAAACTGTTGTTGCATTTTTAGGAGCACCAACGGTGTGATACCACGACATGCATTGAAAATTCGTTCTCACAATTCTCCCAAAGAGTTAACTGAAACAAGATCTGTTCCGGTTTCATGTATTCTCACTATAAAATCTGATGGACCAAGTCGGGTGACTGAAAAGGCCACTCACTCCGTCCTGTTATGACTAACCCCTATTATTGTTGTCATAATTTATTTTTTCTCACTTCCGTCAACGTTCATCAATAAATAATAACCTCCTCCAAGATATTTCACTTCACTCTTCAGTGTTATCGAATATTTGGTCCTTCGAGCTGGATACTCTATTTGTTGAAAGAAGGTACAAAGGTATGAAGTCATACAATAATTGTATAGATGAGATATAACAGAACACAATTGCAACTTGTATCTATTGGAATAGGATATTTTCAGAGTTACACGTACGTTTTCGTATCTCAAGAATAGTCAGCTGAGGTATTCAAGCTTCTGAATTCTGTGAATTGTAACAAAAAGTATATGCTTTGATTAGAAGTAAAGGTTTCCGCGGTTTTAATTCTTGGAACTTATAAAATCCACGTGGACAACGAGGGTTTTAACTTGACAGACAAATTAGTCCACTTCCTTCGATTTCGCAAGCTTCCTCCGTGAAGCGGTTTCTAGAATTATTCAAGTCGACGTTTATGAGGAAAGCTGGTAATTATCAACATCCGACCGCGACTTTTCTTTTTGCTCAACGTTCTGATTGGCTTTCT